CGTATGAGTGCCATGACGTTTTCCACGTTTCGCAGCTAGTTCCTCACTGCCCCCGCCCTCCCGCTTTGGTTTCCTCGGCAGCCGATGCTGCCTGGCCTCCTATCCACGATGCAGCAGGCAATCCCACAGCGGAATACGAAGTAGACCATATTATGGACCAACGCGGCTCGGGAGATACAGCCCAGTACCTCGTGAAGTGGCGCGGGGCCCCTGAAGATCACGCCACATGGGAGCCAGCTCATCACCTTACTGGCTGTCCGGCTTTGCTTCGCGCTTGGCGCCGCCGCCAACGAAGACGTCTTCAGGCTCGAAACAACATGGGTCATTCCGAGGCGTAGACGTCCGGGTCCGCCACGTTCCAGCTCCTACAGCACGGGCACCCTACAATGAGGAAGGGGGAGTGAGCGCTGCGCACCGCGCGCGCTCACCACGTCAGCTTTAGAAGAGCACAGAGATTGCAACGGCAAAAATAATGCGTTTGGGATAGGTGTCTTCAGCCCGGCAAGGGGGGAAGTTGTAGTACTGAGGCACTACAACTTCGCTGGCTGGCTAGTGTCCTAGAGATGATAGCTAGCTAGCGACCTACAAGAGGCCGCGACACTGGAGGGGGACAGGACCCTCCCAAGAAGGAAAAACTAGGAAAAACAGTTAGTCAGTTCTAATGAAAATGTGAAATGTGCGGAAATTGTGTGGAGACTGGGGCTGGCGATAGCGCCGGCACCAACGCGGACCTCCTCCCCTAGGGTCTAGGAGGTGAGCTCCGAGAAGGGAGCGAATCGACAAGACAGATTGGAGACACTTTTTGAATTGTCGTATTTCGACGGAATAAAGCATTAGAGACCGAGAAATGGGGCTATACTAGGTGTAGTATGTAGACGTGTAGAGGGGCAGGAAATAGCGTAGTCGCGGCAGTAGGCGCCGCGCACTACACCCGCACTGGTGCCGGCGCTATCGCCAGCCCCAGTCTCCACACAATTTCCACGCATTTCACTTATTCATTAGAATTAATAGACAGTTTTTCTTACTTTCATCCTATTGGGAGGGTCCTGTCCTCTTCCAGTGTTGCGACCCCTTGTAGGTCGCTAGCTAGCTATCATCTCTACGGCACTAGCCAGCCCCAGTGTAGTGCCTGTGCACTACATTATTTTCCTAATACATTGTTCTTCTATTTTACTAGTAAGAGGCTGCGGCTCTTGATCAGCGTCTCAACCTCTTAACCGCTTATAGGTCATCAGCTAGCCATCCTCTGTAAGTCACCAGCAAACCCTATTGTACTGCCTGAGCACTACAGCCACCTTCCTACCGGGACAAGAAAGCAAGAACCATAGGTGGGGGACTTGTGAGAATTTTGGGTTGGAGAACTCAGAAGAAGACTGTTATTTTAATAATTTGGTAGTTGTTCCAGGAAAGATGCGTTGAAAGTAGAGATGACTTCATAGGGCGCCCTAGTCTTGGTCCAGCTAGCATTGTAATAGCTGCAGATAACGCTATTGTGTACTACACGTATTGTGTGGCGGCTTGAGATCTTGAAGCACGCGTTCTTAGTCAAGATCGTGTAAACGAATGCACGTGTAAAGGGCCTGCTCCAGGGTATGGTTGACGTGTTCGCTTTGCTTTTCGCTTTGGAGTGGCGGGCGGAAATGTCCACCTCGATGCTGAGCCGGACGCCAGTCTTTTTCTGGCCGCTATGAGCAGCTGATATGATCGTGTAGAGCACGATAGTACGGGACTCAGGCAATTGTAGTACGCATGATTGCTGCATGCCCTGAGTATAGAATTGCAAGTAAGGCGACTCAAAGTGGAAGGTAGGGAGGTGATTGCAGAACCCAACTATGGCGGCTTCACTTTTCCGCTGCGCTCCAAGCATGCACCTCGCTGAAGGCCAAGCACCGCTTGCGAGACACGGCTTTGTGGAAAGAAGCCCCTCAGTTGCTTTTCTTCACTGGTAACGTGACATTACACGAGGTGGTGGCGCTGGTGGCTGGGGAGTTGTTAGCGCATCACCTGCGGGTGCGACGGTGGGGTACTTTAGACACTCTCACATCGTGTTTAGCTCAGTTGATAAAGTTATAGTTAGCCCGTGTTCACTACAGCCCACGGGGCCCTTTGACCCTACAGGCCAAGCTTCACTGTAGGGTGCCTAGGCCCTGAATGGCCGAAGAACGAATTGCTCGGCAAATTTGTTACTGAAAGCATCGCAACGTCCCAAGAGCACGACAAAATGAAGAAGGTGCTGTTTTCGCCGCTGTATTTTATTGACACATTCTACGTCTTTTGAAGCGAATCGCTGCATCCCACAATCACATTACAACCAACAGAACACTGTTGCGCCGCACTAGCCTTCCGAACCCAGTAGTTCTGCAGCAAGACACACCACAGTGCACAAAATTACCTAGTATGAAGATGGCTTTATAAACAAGTGAATTCACACAGTTGAGGTGCTGCATGCAAAGGCAGACCGTAGACACGTCATACCCTCTTACATGACAGAGCGCGGTTGGGCTTGCCTCCCTATCCTAGCCTTGGTAGATAAATCCAGCATTCTTTTTCCCAGTGGTGATTGCTTTAGTTTGCAATTTCCCAGTATTCTGAGTCAGAAGAGCTGCGAAGGCTAGCCGGTGCACGTCGCTTTCGCTGCAATAGCAGTAGCAGCTGCAACGGCACGGGCCTGCAGCAGCAGCCGCTGGTACGGCTCTCCTTATCAGTGATCCTACTAACTTTTACTCTATGTTTTAAGGCCGTTTCTTATCCGAGACACATTTAAGCCCGGTCGGGATCCTTTTCCTGCTCTTCGTGCGTATATAGTTGGGGCAGTTCCGGTATCCGCTGTAGCAGCCGCCGCTACACAGGTCTCGTGCCACACCGTCTTTTTGCACTTAATCGATTCTTCAGGAAAAAGTTAGAGGGATATATTTTCCTTTGATACTCGAGCAATCTTTGGTGGGTGGCTTCTAGATATAAAACTTATCGCACTCCGTAACCCCCAGAACTGTATTGGGGCTAAGAGCAAACGCTTTGGGTATAGATCTAGTGTGCCGCCATGAAAGACGATACAGCACAGTCGCCGCCTCCAGTCACCGCAGCTGGCCTCCCAGCTGGCTTTGGTGCCTTAGGCGAAGCATTTACAGCCTCCCCAGCAGCAGCAGCAAATGGGTGCTTGACCCTCGGGGTTACTGCAGCAGCAGCAGGCCACGCTGCTGCCTCATCCACCCTCTGGCTAGTGGATTCTGACGGACAGAACTGCCTTTCAGGAGGACCGTGGTCAGCCCAAGTCAACGCAACAGCGGCACAGCAGCAGCAGCCAGCGGAACTGCAGCAGCTAGAATACCTGAAGCAACGGCGGCAGCAGCAGCTGCTTCTCCTGCAGCAGCAACAAGCACAGCAGCAACACATACACGAACAACAGCTTCGGCAACAGCTTCTGCTACAGCAGCACCAACAACCCGTCAATCCTCAAGTTCTGCAGCATCATCTGCAGCTGCAGCAGGCGCAGCAGCAGCAACAACAGCTTCAGCAGCAGCAACTGCAGCATATAATAAGTCAGCAGCTCCTCCAAGACCAGCAAAGTCAAAGAGAAGCGGAGGAACAGCTAGCAAGACAGTTGCTGCAGCAGCAGGAATTACTAAAGCAGCAGGGGCTGCTGCAGCAGCAGAAGCTGCTGCAGCAACAAGGCCTTCTCCAACATGAATTGATACAACGTCAGGAGCTCCAGCAGCACCAGGAGCTTCAGCGTCAGGAGCTGCAGCAGCGGCGGCAGCAAGAGCTTCAGGAAGAATTGCTGCAACATGTTGCACAGGAGCAAGTTGCTGCTCCGGTGAGTCCGGAACAGATTTCTTCCCTGCAGGACCAGGGAAAAGAGCAGCAGCAGCTTCTGGCTATGCTTCAAGACGATCAGCGGGAGCAAGAGCAGCAAGAGGAGGCCCATCCGGCAGCGGCGGTCAGTGCGTCTTCTGCCCCCAAGCAGCAAGAGTCCAATCCCAGCAGCACAGGTAGCCCCCCTTCTTCAGGTGGGCTTCCAGCATCAGCTGCATCTGAGTCTGCAGCTTCAGACTACCTTAGCAGCAACAAAATTGAGGGTGAGGCCGGCCCTAGTCCGCCTTCTTTGCACTCTTTGCCGGGCGCTCCGGCGCCTGAAGTGGATGCAGCCCAAGAGCTTCCATCAGCAACAGCAGGAACAGCAGCCGTTTCGTCAGCATCCGAAGCAGCAGCAGATCCAGAGGAGGGTTTCTCTCCCGCCCTTCCCTCGAAAGTACCCCGTGGCGTGTGGTTCAACCGCTCTACAGGCTGCTGGCTGGCGTGCGTTTCTGGCGTAGGCAAGAGGCTGCATGGTAAGTGTTGCTGCTGTCTTCCCGGTGCAACTTTCTTTTTATTCACATCAGGAGCAACAACAGGTGTTACCAAGCAATACGAGCAGCAGCTACACTGGCTTTTGTGGGGGGTGAGCTGCATCTGCAGGCCGCACGTGCGCCCCCGTTTGCCTCTGTCTTTTTATTGCTCAGTGTTCAGCTCTAAGCGCTACGGGCACGAGAGAGCCTTCCAAATGGCTGTTAACTGCAAGGAAGCAGACAAGGCCCAAGCAGCAGGAGGGGGAGGGGGGACCGCAGAAGGGGCTTCAGGTGGCCCTGGGGTTCCCCCCCAAGATGTGTTTACTGCACCTACACCGAAGGGTCAAACCGCCGCCGCCTCGCCAGCTGCGGCGGGGGGCAGCAGAAGAAACAGAAATGCTGCTGCTAGGAGGCAGCAGCAGCAGCAACAGCAGCCTCATGTTAGGGCATTCTCCCCAGGTGGCAGCTCAAGAGGACCAGATATGTATGTCACGACAATGCGGCAAGGTGAAGGTGATGATGATGAAGCTATGGACTCCGCCACAGACACTCGAACGGATGAAGGCTCCGTAGGCTTGTTATGCTGTATCTACGCTGGTGCTGGCTTCGTTGTGGGTCTGAAAGGGTTATATTGCTGCTGCCGGTAAAGCTGATTGAGGGATCAGGCCGTATGTGTTCTTATGGTATGTGCCGCAGCACGCAGCAGGACTTATCGAACGATCGAAGAGACGTCGGGTCCTTTCTTGTAGGGCACAACGGCACCTGCAGCAGCAGCGGCACCTGCAGCCAGAAGCGTCACCTGCAGCAGCAGCGGCACCTGCATCCAGCAGCGGCACCTGCAGCCAGCAGCGGCACCTGCAGCCAGCAGCGGCACCTGCAGCAACAGCGGCATCAGGCATTGGCTTTGCAGCAGGGCAGTAGGTGTGTGCTTTGTGACTCAGGGCGGGGGGCGGAGGCAGCGGCAAGTGGCCTTTACTCTAGCTTGGGTGGTCCTGAGGAGGGAGGCTCCCAGAGAGGCAATGGAGCCCTGTGCAGTAGCAATAGTAGCAGCAACACTGGCAGTATGAGGCCTGCGACACGCACAAGCAGTGGAGGGACATATGAAAGGCACAGAACAGAATCTCTTCTTGACGGGGGTGAGGCGTGGGCTCAACTAATCATCGACTCTTATCGGTTTTTTGAAGTAGCAATCGGTCATTTGGGGGCACACTGTAGCTGGCGTGCTACTTCGGTGGGCTGCCTCTTGGTGTGTCCGTGCTTCACTTTTTCTCGCACAGCGTTTTTGCCATTGCTTCTATTTTCAAGCATCTTTGCATTTGTGTGTCACCTTATCACCGTTTTCCCACCGTCTTTTCCCACTGTGCTTGTTTTTTTCAAACGACCTCTGCGTTTTCCGTCTCTAAGCTCCTGGTCGTTGGTTCTTACTTGTTTGCCACGTTTTAGTTAACAGAATCTTCCGCTCCCTGCAACATGACGCCAGCTTGTTTGTGGGTGGCTTATATTTTCGAGCTAGCATTGGTCTTCTCTGTTCTTGCCTTTGTGTTTTTTCACGGACCTCATTTGTGTGATGTTGTTCTGTTTGGTGCCCTTGCCATTTTCCGTGTTCAGTGCCGAAAGGGGTTTGGTTCAACTCTCACACCAAGTCGTGGACCTGTACCACGGCGGGTCCCAAGCGGCAGCTTCTTGTCTTCTCTTCAAACCGCTTTGGTTTCGCTGAGGCCCGCAGAATGGCCATATCTGCGAGGCTTGCGTCTCTCAAATTAGAGGGCCTCCCAGTGCCTCACTGCCCTCTTTTGTACGAGCCCCCTGGGGGAGTGGGGGCTTCAAGGGCTCTTGCGGGTCCAACGGGAGACGGATCCCAGCTACCAGGAGCGACAGGTTTGGGGGGCCCTTTAGGGGTTGCAGCTGAGGGATGGGGTGGTTATTCTCCTCATGAGGGAGGAGATGATGGTTATGGGGGACACTTGGGAGGCGTCGCCGGAGCCCGCAGACGCAGGAGGCAGCGAGACGGCGCCCCGCATTTTGTGAATTGTCGTCAAAGGCGCGGTGCGGAGGGAGATGAGAGCGGGTCGGATCCGTGGGATACGTTCCGCAGCGGCCTACCGCTTGTTGCAGAGAAGGTGAGAGGCCCTTCGGTTTAGCACCTTCTGTTGTCCTGCTGTATGTCATATAACTTCACAGTTCATCGATCTGATATCTGCGTACTTGTGTCTGTCCCACGAATGCGTGCCTACTTGTCCTTAACGCTCCATTGCAGTGGTGTTCGTCAGTGCACTCCGTATCATCATAGTGTCGCAGTTTGTCACCCGTTTCTTCTGTCCTCACGCAGGATACGGCGTCATCTTCCACTACAGGAGCTGCAAGAGGCGGCGGTTTTCCGTTGCGTCGTTTGTGCGCGTCTGAGCGCCGTTTGCTAGAAGTTGGTTCAATAGCGCTGGAATTGTTGCTCAAGGACCTCTTGCGGCTGTGTGGGGAGGAACTAGCTGGTGCTGCTGCTTGCTTCACCTTTCCCGTCTTCGCTGCCATCCGCAGGGCCATCTCCAGGACGCAGAAGGCTTCAGACCCTCTTCAGTTCCAGAGCTTGTTCAAAGCCTTCTCGATATGTGTGCGCTGCCAGAAGCTGCCAAGTCGGCTGGGTCCCAGGCAGCAGGCAGAGCTGCTCACTAAAGTTCTTGCTGCAGAAAGGGTGTACAAGAAGGAGCAGGAGCAGCAGCAGCAGGCCCAAGCAGCATCTGCGGATGCGACAGCGGACGCAAGCGCTGACTCTTCTGCTGCGTCGGCTGCAGGTGCCAGCACCGAAGCAAGCGAGCACACAACAGTTGTGCTTAACCCGGCAGAACAGAATGATGCAGTAGAGGCACGACCAACCACACCGGGAGTAGAATCGTCAGGCGCTGTTGCTGCACAGCAAGCAACAGCAAGCGACGGGGGGCCGGCAGATGCAACAACGGATTCTGCCAGCGCTTATGCAGCAGCCACGCCTGATACGGCAGCTGTAACTGATACAGCGACAGCGGACGCCGCCGTACCAGTAGTAGCTGGTCTAAATGAAGCATCGGCAGTTGATGCAGCATCTTCAGCCATCGATGTGGCAACAGCAAGAGCACCTGATGCAGCGGTAGCAATGGCGATTGATGCAGCTACTGGAGTAGCAGCATCAATTCAAGACGAAACAGGCGATGCGCTGCGCGCTGCAGCAGTTGCAACTGATGCTTCAACAGTGATGGCGGTTGGCACAGTTGTCACGGAAAGCGAGGGCGTTGCTGAGAGCGGCGTCTACGTTGTAAATTCGAGCCCTGTTGTTGTTTCAGTGGATGCAGCTGTTGCTGATGATATTGCAACTGCTGGAGAGTCCACTGTTGTTGCCGGGACGGTCGCAGAGGGCATGTTTTCTTCTTCATATGTCTCCGGCGCTGTTTACAGTCCGCATAGACTAGAAGCTGGGTCAGTGCCTCCAGAGGCAGCACTAGATGACGGGGCGGCTCAACCACCGAAGGCAAATAATAGCGAACCTGAACTGGAAACGGCCGCAAGAAGAACCGAAACAAGTGACGACAGAAGTTCTGAATATGCAGCAGACGATGGAACTTCAGCGTTGTCCACGGCGGCATTTACACTAGCAGCAGGTGGATGTGCCGCATTGGCAGAACCTAGGGAAGCACTGAACTGCATAGCAGCGACAGAAGTACCTGTTGCAGCACCCCTGGCAGAAGCAGTATCTGAATTCGATGCAGTGCAAACGAAACTGCCTTCAGACAGGGTTGAATCATCTACGCTTTGCAGCAGGCAAGACAGCCTTGTGCTTGAAGAAGGTGCACAAGATAGCCTTCCCAGAGGCTCGAGCGGCGCCCCTACAAATGTTTTTTAGCGCATGCAAAGGGCACCGTTGTTGTGTTGCCGCCGTTACGCCTGCAACAGCTGTTACATCTGCTGCAGCTGTCATCATCAGAGCTTTTGGCGCATTTGCTTGCCGCTGGGTACCCTGCATTGCAGTGAGCCTGGCGATGAAATGCACATGAATGTGTTTTGTTCTTTTCTACTTTTTTTGCTTTTCAGTTGAAGTGGAACAGACCCCCACTTTTTAAGAGGTCAGCCTTGCGCTGGGCAGCAACATCCCCATGCTGCGCCAGCAGCGGTGTTTCCCCGTCTCAGCAGTAGCAGTAGTATTTCATGTCTCCCTTGCACAGAGCACGAACGTTCATTCAATGCATAAGTCTCCATTCCATCGTCCCAGAATTAGCAATACACTGCAGCTGCTGAAGCACCGTTCTCTAGGTGCAACGACAGCAGCGGGTGCCCGTAGTTGCTAACAACTACGCAGTATAATCCGCTACGACACTTCTGGGCTTGCCAAAGCCTATGTTACTGTTAACAGATGCAACAAGGTGTCATGTCCGACGTAAAAGAGTAGTTTGTCTGAAATGAGGTCGTCGCTGGAGGCCTGTATGGGCCGCAGATGTCGTCGATAGCAAAATTCAAACACCACAAAATGTCCAACGAACTCGCTGCACAAGTCAAGTGCCTTCGGTTTACGGCTTGCACGACTTGCAACGAGCAACAGCAGCAGCATCTGTAAGAGTGATGGGATCGGCAGGTTACTGCTTTCGGTTTGCAGTAGCCACCGCTTCGCCAGGTTACTGCTTTTGGTTTGCAGCAGCCACCGCTTCTATTCGCTTGCGCCTCTGTTGCAGCCACTGTTTAGGCTTATCTTGTTGCAGTGCGCGAGCCAACCTTCTGCTGAGCTGCTGGATCGTGAAGTGCATTCCTTTGGGCTGCTGTCTTCCCTACTTACAGCAGTGTTCCCTTAAACTGCGATAGAAACGGATACTGACTATATTCAGCAGCTTTGAAGCTGCCACTGGAGCTGCCGCCACTAATGAAACAGATGCGCTGTCTGCTGCACTTGGTGCCATCTTGCATTCCGTGCTGGGTTGGGTGCAGCTGGACGAGGCTTCTCAACAGCTCCATCGGCTCGAATGTTTCCTTGTCCCTGCATTCATCCAAGTTTGTTGTTTTCCGGCATATCTGCAAGGTCGCCGTATTTGGCAATTATAACACAACTCGCAAAGAAGCCGACAATGCGCAAGACGGCCCTCCATTTGGGAGGTATGTACTCCCGAGGGGCTTCTCTCATCATTCCTGGGAAAATCATCGTCAAAATTCTGGCTTAGAGAATAACCAGGCTTTGAAACGATGAAGGGCTGTGGAAGAAACGCCGCGTTGCTGTTGCTGAACAGTCTGGATAGGCAAGGGGCAGCTGCAGCCAGCGGGCTATGACTCTGGCGCAGAGTAACCAAAAAGAAGAAGCTTCAAACACTCAAAATCCGAAGCATTTTCATCAATAAACCACATCGAAATGCTTCTGATAAGTTTATACACCGTGAGGCATCTCAGTGAATGGTCGGCGCATGCAGCCCGTGGGGTTGAAAGCCTGCCCGACCTTCCCTGTTATTGCACTCAAATTCAAATAAAAGGGGATAAGAAAGGGCTCAACTTCTACTGGGTGCACCTTTAGGTACTGATAATCATCACACAGTTTGGCTGCAACAGACACATCGGATCGTTCGATATTTCAACGTTCAGTGCTTGCTACGAGTGAATGCGAAACACATAGTGGGTTGGGCAGTAGAGGGCACGTTAAACGAAAGCAGAAGTGGTAATTTCCTCAACATATGCGGGAGTGAAGGGACTGCGTTGTGGTTGAAAGGAGGTTAGGCTCCGGCGTTGGAACACGCGCTAAATTTGTTCAGGTGTCACTGGCATTTGAAGTGGCAGAGCTGAGCCCAGCCACTTCAGATGACAGCGATATGGCAGTGTAAAGTTTGCCAGGGGAAGAAAAAAATGCCGAGCGCATCACATGTCGGAATGGAATCACAAGCCATCACTTGTAATCTTCTGCATTCCTATGGAGGAAAGAAGAGCGCGCATGTTTTTGTTTCACCTCTTTCCAAACAGTAACCCAGCCAAGCATCTATTGACTGGTGATGCATGTGCGCAGACAATTGTGCACAATGAAATGTCCACTTGCTTACCTTGCTGCTTGCTGTCTGCTCACCATTCTTAGCCCACGAGCGGCCCTTTTTCCCCACTTTTCATCTTCCCTCGGAGGCGGTTTCCGTGAAGACTGGCTACTGAGGCTAATGTAGACAACATAAATCCTAAGAGTTACCGCACTTTGCTTCTGGCATGATGCTTGCAAGGGGCAAAAGACTATGAAACAGAAGGATTATACATGCACTAACTAGTTTTCCTGGAGGTTGGGATGGTTTACACTTACAGGTTGCCGGTTTTTTCCTATGCCTGAGCCAGCCAAGCCTGTGGCCCTTCGACTGTTTTGTTTTTCACTGGAACTGTTCCTGTCACTACACAGCCGCAGAGCTAGCTTTTAGAGCAGTGGAATGCATAATTTTGCTGCAACGTTGGGCAGTCCAAGTGCGCGTCTTTTGGCTAACTGAAAGTATCAAAGGTTCTTCCTCTACAACTATGGCTTCTTGGTCACCTGTGGGCTGTGTAAGCACTCCAGAATAGCAAACGCCCTCTCTAAGTATGTTTCTGCCTTACTCTGCAATCCATTAAGATTTAATTGTGTTGTTTGCCACACCATGGAAGCAGCACTTGAAGCATACGACGCCGCGGAAGTTTCATGTCCTTGATTGGGTATGCTATATAGATCGATTGAATGGTTTACAGCGAAGAAATTCTCGGTTAAGCGGGCACTTCCTAGATGCGTGTATTGAGTTCGTGTGGTGCAGTAGCCACGTCTTTGGCCCGGCAGCAACAAGCGGCTCCGTAGCTGCACAGCGCTTCATGAAATCGTACTTCTCCGCCTGTCAGAGCGTGTTGTGACGCAGGCAGAAGGCTTAATCGCAACTTAATTGTATAGTTGATGTAATGTGGAGTCATTTGGTAAGCAATTCTGTGCTTCTTCTTCAGGAGCCATCGGTGCCTTCTGACCAATCCATGAACGTTGAGCTCAATGGCATTGGGTAGCAACGGCTAGCCCGAAGCTCACCGACGACGCAAGCTTTCATCTGCGATGCACTTCACCTCTTTTACCTAACGTGATCCCAGAGTGATCAGCCCACGCAGCAACCGTGCAGTTGGCTGGAATAGTTCCACTGGCTGCAAGAATTTAGTTGCACACTTACATACCCTAAAACTTTCTACAATTAGGCAGCGCGGTATGTCTGCATGTCGCAAAGGGAGGCTTCCTACGTAAGCCGACAGGCGTCAAAAACGTGAGGCTGCTGCCACTATCACAGTTGCTGGCCCGTTTTAAAGCTAGGCTGATGGTGCCGATGCCCTGTAGCATGCCTACTGCTACAGCAACTGCGCATGCTGCTGCGGCGATCCCTACGGTAGTCCTTGTTGCTTGTAAGACACTACTAATTTTGAAAGGCAAACGGCTAGTTGCTACACTGAGAATAATTTCCAACGGCCGACCAAATTTAAGGCAGGAGCACACTGAAAGTATTTTATATTTCTAGCATTAGATGTACTTACACTACTTAAACGGTTCCTCTTTGTGTTCAAATAAGGAAGCTTCCCTTGGGGTCGCGTAGTTGGTCGCGTGCCCAGCAGCAGGTGCCATATCCTGAAGGTCATGTTCCTTTGCTTCTCCCCAGGTATCGTACTCACTTATTTTTATTATTAACATTTGTCGTTTTATAGTATTTCTTTTGTTTAACAACGGTAGAGGACAGATTGGCCTGGTCACCTATGTGACACCATTGGCGTGACTGGTGGTCCATTGGCCCGGCGTTCCCTTTGAAACCCCGAAATTTAAGCTTTGTTTCCTTGAAAAAGTATTCCCACATTACATTTTAAGCTCTATACCTACATTATTGCTAAACTTTTCTCCTCCTGATCCTTCGAGATATGGACAGATACTGTCATGCATTATAGTACCTTCCTCACGGGCACAACCAGCATACCGGTTGCCTAACTTTGGCATTACTTGGCCCTTTACTGCTGTTTTCAACTCTTTGGTCGAAGACAATTATATTTTTAATTCCTAGCCCTGAAAAACTGGCAAGACACAGCCTGATGACAATCGTCGAAGGACTCAAGTGCCTCTAATCCTCGCTGAAGCCATGCCAAGACCTTCAGGTCCTCCTAAGGTAGCCTAAGGCACGAAAATCCAACTATTCAGCAGTTTCTGGTTCTTTTAGGAGGAGTGCAGGCCGAATTGGCCTAAAAATGGTGCGGGGGAACCTTTCAGTCTCTCCGGCCAACAATCGAGACAGAGTTGCACAGAGCCCCCAAAAATGGGACGAAGAAGGTTTTAGAGCTCTCCGCAGGAGAATAGTCGCCTCAGACGCTCCAGGTGTCTGTGAAGAGCAGATGCTGCTGGCGCCCGCACCAAAGAAGCAACTGCAGATGCTGTTGCTCCCAAAACTCAATGAGGGGTCCTGCGGCTGCGAATCCCGGAAGCAACAACAGGACGATTTGACTTTGATCCAGCAGCAGGAGCAGCAGCAGCAACAGAAAGAGCAAGAGCAACACCGACTGCAGCAACAATGTAGTCAGCTGGTCCAGCCCGTCGTTCACCAACGGGACCCTCCACAGGAAGACCAGCATTACCGTGACACGCAGCTTCAAAAACGGAAGCAGCAAATTGGTAATCAGAACCAGCAACTACAGGTTGTTCAAAACAGGCAGCAAGCGCCCATTCTTAATGAAGAGGAGCAGCACCGACGTCTCCTTTGTCAGGAAGAGCAGGAAAAGCGTCATCTGACAGACTACTCAGCTCGCACAACTGGAAGTTCAGAAGCTGTGCCGTGTTGCGTGTCGACACTACCGCTACCCACAACAGCTGTAGAAGTCGCAGAAGCAACAGGGTCAACAGCAGCAGTTGCAAATGTTGGTGTATTGCGGAAAGCTTCGACCCGAAAGCGGCGTGTCAAGAACAAAGGAGCCCAGCAACGAAAAATCAAGCTAGCAGCGGCTGTTGCCGAAAATTCCTTAAGTTCTCCTAGTCGTAATGCAGCAGAGGCAGAACTGACAGACACAGAGGCAACGGAACCCCGCCCAGAAACGACAGCAGCGGCAAATGCTCCTTACTGTGGGGCAAAGCACGACGAGATGCTGCAGCAAGATGCTCCCGTGCAAGTGAAGCCTCGAAAAAGGTATAAAGGCAAGGCAGCTCCTGCAGTTAAGCGCAGCACGCAACAACAGCGACTGCAGCGGATACAGCAAAAAGAGCAACTGATGCAGCAGCCTAATTTTTGGCATTCTCCTGCTAAGCAGCAGAAAAGACGTCTGCAAGAGCTGCAGCAGGAACTGCAGCGACAGCGGCATCAACAGACATCTTCGCTGCCTATCCCACAAGCAAATGCACAGAGTCCAACAGAGTGTTTGCCGATGCACGCACAGCCTGACTCTGCTGCTGGCAGTGCTGATCTGTGGGTGATGCCGGCAGCGTTGCTAGCTGCTTCTCAGGAAGGGCAGCATCTGCAGAAGCAGCCGCAGCAGCTGCAGCAGCAGCCACAGGGACCGCCGCAGCAGCTGCAACCTCAGCCGCCGCCACAGCAGCAGCATCGGTGGCAGGTTCGCCTGGATCACTGCCCCATGGCGCATACAGCAGGAGGATATGATATACAGCGCCACCGGACTCAACAGAACAAACACGGTGTTGAAGAGACTTTATCAATGGTCCCTGCAGCGCAACCGCAACAAACGAAGCTGCACCAGCAAAAAGAACAGTTGATGTCGCTGGATGGGTTCGTCCACCCTGCTGTCGTGCACCAGGAGAAGCGGCAACAGGAGACTACTTCATCATTTTTCGAAGCAGGCCATCAGGCACAAGAGCTGCAACATGTTCTATCTGAGCAGCTGGACCACCAGCCGCTGCAACGCTCGCCAAAGAGGCTAGAGCGACAGCCGATGGAGCGCCGGCTTCTGTGCATGCGACGCTGTTACTCTTATCCGGAGCTGCCATTCGTGTACACGCAGGAGGAGCTGGAGAATGCAACAATGATAATATGCCGGCAGCAGCAACAGCGGTCTCCGTCGACGCAGCAGCTACCACAACGAAGCCCCTGGCAGCACCAGCAGATGCTGCAGCAGCAACAGCAGCAGCCGCAGCCTGTTGAGTTTGGCTCGATTAATGCACAAGACGAAACGTGCCGCCTCGTGTACACACTCCCAGCCTTATCGAACCCGTCACGAAAAGCGTGCGCCAGGTATCGCTGTGATACTCATAAGAGCCCCACTGTTTTGACAGCGCGTAAAGAGGTGTATGAGGCCTTGGTACCCACTATGAGCTTCATCCGCGGAAAAGCTGAGCATGCGCTTCTGCAGCAGGATGTGGAAAGGCAGGTACCTTTTACTGTTGCTGCTGCAGCTGCTCATGAGCCTGCAGCTGTCCATATGCCTGGCGACCCTGCAGCCCTCGCTACTGTGCCAGTGGCCGCAGCGCCCATCAATGCCAGTGTTTTCCCTGAGTTTACTGCTTTGCCTTTTTCTCGTGCGCCTGATGCCGCTGCCAAGCCCGATATTTCCTCGCCTGCCGCCGCCATGCCGTCTGCTGCCAAGTCTGCATTCGTCGCACCTGCTGCTGCTGCGTTTGCAAAGGAGAACAAGCCCTCCCCCAAGCGCTTGCCCATGCGCAGTCAACCAGTGACATCGAATCTTGAATGCAGAAGACGTGTGGCCCCTAAAACTGGTATCTGTACGGAAGAGCTCAAAACACAACAGCAACGCTCCACGACTAACTCCAGTAGTAGTAGCAGCATCAGTACCGGGAGCAACAATAGCAGCAGCTTCTGGTGCAGCGTAAGGCTCGCGGACGACTTTGTTCCTTTCCAACAAAAACCTAACAAGAAAAGAAAGCAGAAGATTACCTCGAAGGGAAGGCCTAACGCTGCAGCGGGCGCAGCAGACGCAGCAGGTGAAGCAAAAGGAAGCCCTGCAGCGGCAGCTGACTCAGCAACCACGCCTGCAGCAGCTGCTACAACAGTGACTTTGACGAAGGCGAAGGCGGCAAAAAGCGTCAACCAGCAGCGTCTGCAGCAGAAGCTAGCAGAGCAGCCGCAACTGGTGGGCCAACAGAACAGCCAAAAGCGTTCCCAGAGTTATGAGAAGCAGGCGCTGTATCAAGCTAACTGCCAACAACGACAGCAGCTGAATGTGCCGTTCGATCTGCACAAGCGGGAGCAGCAGCAAGAGGAAGAGCACCAAAAGCAGCAACATTATTGCCAACAAGAAAAGCAACAGCACCCGCAACAGCAACAGCAACAACACAAGCACACAAAGGACAAAAGCCAGCAACAGGAGTACGTTCAGCATGCTCAGCAGTCAGATGGGCCCATTACCGAGCAGCAGCAGTGTGCCTTGGAAGAATTGCAGCAGCGACAAAAGAAGCTAAGATGTTCTGAGGCGCACATAAACCAGCACCAAGGAGAAGTGCTTGCGTACCCTGATGCTCCGCATGCAGCTGCAGCTGCGAAGCAGCAAGCGAAGCTACGTGCTCAACGGTGCAGGAAGCAACTGCAGAAGCAAAAGCAGAGGCAGCAAAAAAAAGACCAGCAACAGCGGCAGGAACAACTGGGGGAGCAGGATCAGCAACCGGAACAAAACCAACTGCTGCAATCTCAAGATGTGCAACATCCGCAGCAACTGCACCGGCTCCAACAGCTACAGTCCCAACAACAGATGCAACTGCAACACTTGCAAAAACAGCTTCGCCTGCAGCAAGAGCAACAAAAAGAGCAGCAGATGTTGCTGCTCCAACAGCAACAGCAACTCCTCCAGCAACCAGCGTCAGCCCCTGACCTGTGCTTCAACCTCCCAAAACCGTCGGGCTGGATGCTCCAACAGCGGCCCTCATCACAGCAGCAGCAGCAGATGCAAGAGCAACTGCAGCAAGGGCAAGCGCAAAATTCTGCGCGCCTGGAAGATGACGCTTTGCAAGTGCACCTGACGCCTCCACTATTACCTGATAGCCAATACGCTCAGCAATATTTGCTGCTTCAGCAGCAACTGCAGCAGCGGCAGCTGCAGCAGCAGCAAAAGGTCCTGGCTCAGTCTCACCAGCGTTTAGAGATGCTCTCGCACGCACTGCATCAGCTACAGTCTTCGCAGCCGCAAGAAGAGATGCAACATGAAGCAATAACCGTTGCAACCAAAGTTGCAGGACATCTTACCAAGCCGCTGAATCCTGGGCTATCAATGGTAGCATTAGACGCAGCTCCAGCAGAGGCAGCAAAGACTGGTACGAAGCAGCAACTGCTGGAGGTTTGAGCTGCTTCTGAGTCATATTTGATTTTAATATTGGGGGCTGCACATCGCGCTGCCGGATGTAGCAGCGGCCGGCGCATCACCAGACAAAGAATCTGCAAATGCAGCAGCAAATAAACCAACCAGCAAATAAACCAACAAAGGTAGCAACAGTAGAGGGTAGCAATGTTGCCTTTGTCACCGTCAGTGACAGGCACAAGAACGAACTTGTTACGCTCGAGACGCATAGCTCCTGTTAAACTGAATCACTCGCGGTTTCTGTTTGCTTTGCTGACGTGCATTGGTGCATTGTTGGCGACTCTGTTGCTTTTTCTGTTTTTCAAATATTTATCGGACCCACTATGGCTGTTGTGGTGAGCCATCCGCTGCGAAACGGCTCATGCTCGACTCCTTATGGCTGCTTTGCCCGCATTCGCTGCAGTTAGTTGCAGAAAGAAGCAGCGGCGCAAGTAGCTGCTTCCCCAGGTGATTATATCGCTACAGCAGCATTCTAGGGAGTGCTGGAATGTCCCGCCCTCTTCCTTTCCATGTAGTTGCTCGCGCAGCTGATGATATCGGAACAGCAGCATTCTAGTGAGTTTTTGAATGCCCAGCCCTGTTCTTTTCAAAGCCACGCAGCAGCAGCAGCGACAGAAGCATATAAGGCTCATGGAGCTGGTGGTGCTGCAGCTGCTTTCTCTACTGGGAAAAACATGCATCATGCAGCATACTGAGCAACCTGCGGGGCACAGCATGGGAGCTCCCCTCTAAGGGGATGTGTATGACTCTCAATGGGAGTACTGATTTTGTCGCCAGGAGCTTCCGCTAGTGTGACCAATACATTTAGAGTTTGCCATTACCACTGGTGTTAAGGACCTCTGTAGAGAGCTTTTGAAAGGCGGCAGTTCGAGCAAGCAGGAGCTAGACTGCCTTTAACAGCCAGTGGCGAGTGAACCCATCGAACCACCGTTACACACACAGACGGGCATTTGCTTGCACTTTTTTGGTTAGGGCCCGAAAGGAATTCTGGGCAGCAGTGGATTTGCACCTCCACTGCACTTTTCGCCAATGCTTTCGTCACCGCCGGTTTACAAACGAACGAGCTCGTAGCTGTAGTATCCGCCATTTGTACTGTGTCTCGCAGCAAGTAGGACGCACTAAGGTCCTCCTAGTTTAACAGCTAGAGTTCGTTCCCCTCGCGCTCGGCTTTCCGTTCTTGCATGCATCTTGCACCACTGCAACTGCAACATTCAGTGACTTAGAAGTCAAATGACACCTGCAGTGCTTTTGTCATTAATAAATCTCTTCGTAACTGCACATAGCCTGTTTATCAAGCGACTATATTGCCAAACGATGCAAAGACAGAAGTGCCAGCAACAGCACAAGCAGCGTAAACAGCGCGAACCCTGTCGGGTGGCAGCCCGTTAATTTCAAAGCATAGTCATGCGTACTTGCAGCATTTCAGACATTCAACAAAATTATGCATATGTACACACAAATGCAGGCATATTCTTAGCGTCTCAGCAGGTTGCTACGACCTGAACTGTGGGGGGTCGTTGTTATACAAGGGCGACGTGAACCAATCCTGCGGGGACTGAACAATAATCTACAGATGTATTTAGTCCTAAAAGCACAAACTTGATGGCAGTTGGCAGAAGAAGCATTTAAAGAATTAGTTTTAGGCAAAAGACTGCTAGTAGAGCAACCAATACGAGCGACGGAGGAGGCGCGGGGATGCTGCAGCACCTGCTGTACCACCCTGTGTACTTCCGTACATTGCACAGGTGGCAGTGAGTAACTTCCGCGGCCTCTACTTGCTTTATTTAGCAGTTATTAAAGCGTAATTTTGCAAAAAATTGGGATAGAGAATAAAAGATTTGGAAAACAGTGGCGTTTTATTTGCTGAAACAACAAGCGAGGCTGGGGGTCGGCTGTTCGCCCGGGCGCGGGCTAGCAGGCTAGCTGCACAGAGACTGCATGTTCCCCCACTGTACGTGCAGGGTGCGCGTGTTGTTGTTCGTGATGGTATCGGCGTGGGTATGTCTCACATCCGTTATTTAGAGGCTACAACGAGACTGTCTGTTGTGTCTGTTCCATAAAAAACCAAAATGTCTGGCCGAGGAAAAGGAGGAAAGGGGTTGGGAAAGGGAGGCGCCAAGCGCCACCGCAAGGTGTTGCGCGACAACATCCAGGGTATCACGAAGCCGGCAATTCGCCGTCTTGCCCGCAGAGGTGGTGTTAAGCGTATCTCTGGTCTCATTTATGAGGAGATTAGAGGCGTGTTGAAGGTGTTCCTGGAGAACATCATCAAGGATTCCGTCACCTACACCGAACACGCCCGCAGAAAGACCGTCACCGCTATGGACATCGTGTACTCCCTCAAGAGGCAGGGCCGCACCCTCTACGGTTTCGGTGGCTAAGTGCGCTGCCGCTTCCTTTCTTCTCCCCAGGAAACAGGGACAGCGGATCTCCGCGATGCACGAATAACGAATGCGAAACTAGCTTAGGGAACTGTCTATACACCCCTGCCTCGACGGCGAGGCAGGCACTCTTTAGGCTTCACTAGAAGCCACCAAAACTATTTTTCCCGTCATGTTCGATTGCCTGTTGGCTGCCCAGTTCGGCCCAGCCCCCCAAGCCTGAAGTGTTGGCTGGGGCCCTCAGGCTATTCATCATTCATTCATCTCAGAAGGGAGTTTTTTTACAAGTCCACGCAGCGGCCCCGCGGTGTGCGAAGTCTGCACAGGGCCGGGCTGTGGGGCAGTGCCTCCATTCGTTTGCATGTGAACAGATGAGCGAAAAGTGCCAAGGGAAATGCAGAGATGTGCCTGCTGTGCTGCTGCTGCGCTGCTGCAAGTTTGCTGCGCTGCTGCAGCCCCTGGACTGGCACATTGCTTTTATTCTAACTGCTGCAGCTCTGCTGCTTTCCTTAATCTACCGCAGAGAAAACCAGTGGTCAGAATACGCAGTTTAGGGGAAGTTCGTGCGAGTCTGGAAGCAGCAGCGGGAAGGGGGCAGCAGCCCTGCCTTTCGCTTCTGCTGCTGCAGCAGCAGCAGCAGCAGCAGCAGGCGGTTGCTGCGGCAGCCTGTCTAAGGCGCTTTCGAGCGTCTGCACTGTTATGAGATTGCATGCAAAGTCCCCCTTTAGCTTGCGGGGGAGAGGCTTTGCAAATGCTGCTAGTGCTGCTTCTGCGTCTGTCTTGCTGCAGAAGACGGGAGTTCGGACTTCCCCATTATAATTCACAGCTAGAGTCCACGCGCCCCCTTTCCCCTCCACTAGACTCAGTTTGTACACATACCGGCCTCCCTGTTGCTGCTGCTGCTGCTGCTGCTGCTGCTGCTGCTGCTGCTGCTGCTGCTTGAGGGCTCTGATCGCTTCGGGAGCTGCGCCGCGGCGTACAGGAAGCAGGGAGTAGACTGGAATGCCGGTGAAGTTTGAATTGGTTTTGAGTTCGGCGGAAAGCGTTTGAGTAGATGGCAGCAAAACGAACTTCGAACGAGAGGCCAGTGCTGCTGCTCTGCGGCCCCGCAGCTGCAGCAGCAGCCGCTGCATGCAGCGCCCCACGAAGCCGCCCGGCTTTGCTGCTGCTGCTGCTGCTGCTGCTGCTGCTGCTGCTGCGCGCCGGCCGCTGGGGTGTACGTACCGCAGCAACGGGTAAGCGTCCGCCAAAGACATCCAAGAAATAGATGCATGCGGAGGCTCTTGGGAGAAAGAGTTCATTATGCTTTCTCTGTAAGCGCATGCATCTTCTTTGCTCATGAAAAACACGCCAACAGACAAGGCTGCTTCGGCGGGTGTGCACGAAGCGGCCCCTGCTGCTGCTGCTGCTGCTGCTTCAGCTGCTGCTGCTGCTGTCGCCGGACGCTGCAGCGGACGTGCAGACGGGTAGATGGCTGGTATAATGTTCCCCTTCTTGTCCGCCACATAGTAGACCACGCAAGCCCGCAGAAAGTCTGCAATGGCCTTGGGATAGTAGTCTTCGTTTGCTTCTGTTTTTTTGCTGCTGCTGCTGCTGTTGCTGCTGCTGCTGCTGCTGGGGGAATTACGTGGTGACAGCAGCAGGAACACAGACTCTCGAATCCGTCGCAATTGGCCAGCAGCCAGGCGGACAGAGAAGACATGCAGACGCTCAAGCGGAGAAGGCAACAGCGCAGCAACAACTGGGGCTCTTGGTGCTGCTGCTGCAGCACCAGAAGCAGCAGCGGCAGCAGCAGCTGCTGCTGCACTTGGTGGAGCAGCAGGTCCTGGTGGAAGCGTCGAAGCTACATGCCTGTTTGTAACGCTGATGGTAGAAGCGGGGAGATAAAGAGTTAGCGAGCAAACAAGAAAGAGCACACAAAGAGGCGAGAGGAGGCGGCGAAGGCGGTGGCCGCAGAGTTGACAAAAAGGCATTTCCCTCTTCTGTTCGTGAAGGCAGAAAGAGATTAAAAGAGAAAAGAAAAGACAGAGGCAAAGACTCGCGAATGCAATTGAAGTACAAGACTGGGCAAGCTCGGAGTTGAGTTGTACAAGTGTGCGGACAGACGAACAGAAACAAGAAAAAGCCACAAGAGGTAAAGGCTGAGGGGAATCTAAGAAACACACTGGAAGTTCGACAAGACTGGTGACTACAAAGACAGAATGAGATCAGGGCAAAAGGAACACAAAGATCTACAAAGGCGGGTTGGGAATGGAAGCCAGAAATACCTCGAGAGAGGTCTCAGCCAGATGAGCTCGAAGCTGAACAGGGATTGCGAAAACAGGCACACTGGCCTTATTTCATGCAGATACACAAATAAATTGACGCGTAAATTCAGGAATAGATTAGTTTTGTTTGTATATGTACATTCGTGTACACGTTTATGCTCGCCGACGGGCAGAGGGTGGCGTTGTTGAATTTCGGGAGAATGGAGCAACAAAAGGGAGAAAAAAGAACAAAATGCATTGAAGAAATAAAGGAGCTCAACGCAAAAGACATACAAGGTGGCGTCGCCGGAACAAAGAAGGAAAGACAGCAAGAAACAAGCCAAACGCACCGCCTAAGGAAAAAGCCACATGAAAGAGAACGGAAAAGTGAAGATCCCAATTTATTATGGGATAACTAAGAAGGAATTGAATAACATTTCAACAGACAGAAGGACTAACTTACGCTGGCAGCAACCCTAGCAAGTCACGTTGGGGCCCCCCCAGAGACGGTGAACTGCCTAGAACAGTTCTCATCGATGCATTCGGAAAAGATGAACTTCACAAAACAACTACTTCAAATCGATCAAAATTTGGCTATTTCAGTTGAATTTATCTTTATCGCTCTGATGTAGGGGCTGGAAGACATGAAAACATGTCCTAGAGCACAAGAGGCGGCATATTTTGCCAGAGGTCTCGTCTGTTTTCTGTTGTTTCTCCCCACACCATTGAGTTGGGTTTTACCATTATATCCAACAGCAATGTAGAAATAAAACTAAGCTTCACCCGAGGAGCTTACTTGGTACCATACTGGCTAGCGGAGAGCGCCTGGGAGGAAGTGGCTTACTGAGGTGGATGAACCTGTCTTCTAACAAGGAGGGATTTGAAAACTTAGCATAAAGCTTGAAGTTGTTGGAAGTATTCCAGGGCTCCACTGAATCCCTGAGCCACGTCTTGCGGCAGTAGGATACTAGGTATAGTTTCGCATCTGTGCTTGTCAATCAAACCAAGGGAGAAACAGGAAAACTACAGTGGAAATGAATGGTACACTAACCGTCCAGATGCAACGGTACAGGCCAGCGCCTCAACAATCTGGTTAAAGAAATGCTACCTCTTCTGGAGGCCTTTGGTAGGAGGCATATGCTGCAGTTCCCCCTAAAAAGGTGAAGCAACACGGAATTGAGCTATACATAACATGCATGCGGGCAAAAATAATGTGACGTGCGTCTGCTTGCTTTCGTCGAGGCTTTGCCCGTGAAGGAGGAGCTGACGAACCTTATATATTCCAAGCATTAGGTTAATCTTGCTCATAATCACATTTGAAAAAGTGGTTGTTCCACTTACATCCGTGTGAGCCTTTGTATTTCACGCTATAATGCTCGTAAGCTGCCGCTAGTAAGCAGCATAGTCGCCGACGTCTTCTACTGAATCTTGATCACCATCGAATAAATGCGTTTTCAGTGCCTGATTCCTCTTTCCGAGCCATCACGGGAGCCGCAAATGGAAACGTCGGTATGACGAACCACCTTGCCGCCAACATCGGCTAAATATCCTTGCATGCTTCTAGCTTTTTGCTTTTGAGATAGTAAATGCCTGCATTGTTTAGGCCTTTACATGCCTTTACGAAGGGGGAGATTCAGTCAGTGATCCATTCCTCCCACTGAAGTCACATCATGTGGCAGTTAGCCCATAAAGAGACAACTGCGCTAGCAGACGGCCCTGCGGCCAGCAACATGATGGTTTGCTGTGCTAAAGTCACTAATTAAACTTGATGGAGATAAGACCTCGTGCTACCAGCTTAACACGTTGAGGTTTTTCGAAGTATCATCCAGAATTTGTGTGAAGTTACAAGGGCCATAATTCTCTTGAGCTGCGTCTTTTCCGCATTGCCCAGCTTCCGGATCCTGCAGAGTCGCACCCCCGGATATCTTCAGTACCTTGTAAGTGCCAGACACAACAGCAAGAATTCCACTTATCTTTGCAATTCGCTTTTAGCCCGCGTCTCCGCTGTTTGCTCATTTCTACCCGAGGAGTGTCTGGCAGCATACTTGGAGCTGTCGAGCATCTCCAAACTCTCGCCATTCTGCAAGCCTGCCTAAGAATCATGCGTCAGGCATGCAGAACGCAGCACTGAAATCTGGCCCAGAAATGGCCATCAGGGTCATATAATTCAGAATATATAGACTGACGAAGTAAATAAAAATGAGGGAATCAGCCCTTGTGTGAGAAGGCCCGGTGGGCGTTGTAGTTTAGCCCAGGGTTTAAAGCTGGAGAGCGGCACTGAAGTTGCAGTGAGCCGCATGCCCATGCAGTGAAACACTGGAAGCGGGCAGATGTTTCCGGGACGTTGGGACTCGCGATAATGCTGCCTATACTTTTAGCGGCTAACTGTGTCCCTCTTCATCAGTACTGCTAGGAGTGGACCCGTATATCCAGAAATAGAGAGACACGTAGGAACTGAGCTGTGCTTCGCTCATTACAAAGTATCTCTTATGCGGCGAATGGTGTGCGTCACGTGGCATCTTCCTTTGTCCCTTTAATGTCCAACTGTGCTGGAAGCATATTACCAGCACTACCTTCTATTCTTAGGGATTCTGTTTAAGCTGAGAAAGTATTGGGGACACACACACACACACACACACACACACACACACACACACACACACACACACACGCACACACACACGCAAACACATACACACGTACACATATACATACACACAGACACACGTAAACATACGTACACACATACATATA